ATACGAATTTATTTCAATGCATACAACCGACGATGACCAAGCTTAAAATCGTGAGACAGAATTTAATAAATTTCTTGTGTTGACAGTTTTATTGCAATCACCATTAAATCAGTACAAACTAACCTTAATAACTTTCGTAAATAATTAGATTGGGTGTGGCTAGCACATTACTACTCATGTCGTCACAGAATTGTTTAATCCTCCTAGATAAATCTTCAACCAGTTTACTAATCATCTAAAGGTGAAGGGCTCCATGAGGCTCGGTCATGTGCGTTAATCAACGACAATTACATGATGCAAGGCACCTCTGATCACTGCGACAAATGAGCTTCATTATCAAGTTTAAGTACACGAAAACCTGCAAAGACAGGGTCTCCTGCAGAACTTCTCGATCAAACTAACAAAAACCTTACAATAAAACTTTGAAAGCCACAGAGCAAAGCGGTTCTACAATATTAGACCTTCCGCAAATTAAAGTCGGATTGATTTCTCTTTCCTTGTTCATGCTTAAGCAACAGTTTCTCGAAGCAATGGTGCTATATTATATGTCGTTGCATAGCTTGTTTCATGTACTTTCATTCCGTGCAATTCGTTCATAATGTAAATTGCTTTCTTTGATAAATTTAAAGAGTGAGTGGCAGAGTGGTAGTGATGTCGTTAATCACGAGCACGCTGCTTGCTCGACCACACCAGGTCTCATCAAGGCATTCCTCCCTCAGGGGTCGGCAAATTGTTACCACACTTGTCTGGGTCCCTCTCTCTTTCTCTCTGCCATCCAAGTGGCTACGCCATAGCCCGCCCCGCTATTCGAGGTCTCTAAGGACAACTTATTCGACCGGTATTCGACGACAACCCTCAAGCAGCAGCCAAACACACTCGTGAAAACTCCGAAGACAATCGTAGGTAATAAAAGCGAGGGAGGAAATCGAATGCAAGATGTGCTGTGATCCGCAAAGGAGATGCAAAAATGAGTTCTGTGAAAGAAAAGTTGAGAAAAAGAATAAAAATTTTGGGGAATGTAAAGGCTAGATATACATACGTCCGAGAAATCTACTACTGATAATTTGAGCCCGGTTGTAGTGGAGCGCATTCGAAGCAACTGCCAAAGACATAGTAACAGCGATACGAAATACTCATTATCACAAGGGTGTGAGAACCGACGCAATGCGTTTCGTCATCTACACATCAGAGATCTACATTCAAAAGGAGCGATAGTCTCTAGTGAATAAGGAGAAAACTATGGAAAGAAAAAAGAGACGAAACATTGGTTTATTTCAAAGGAGAAAGTTATTATAAGTGGTAAACAACAATACCCACACCTACACCCTCACCCTCACACATCCACACTCACACCCCCAACCCTACAAGCCGAGGTAAAACCAAAGCACTCGAAGTCTACGTAACGCCATATGGTTCTAAGGTCTTTGTTAGGGATTAAATTTTCAACATAAGGATATCAAACGATATGGCAAGAGTGGAGAAGAGGAATGCTGGTAAAATTCAGGTGGCTGCAGCAAGTGATACGAAACATTAGATCTTATCGCCATCACCACATGGCAATGATGATTTAACTGTTACCGAGATTGAAATATTTTGTTATGAAGGATATTGGATAAGTACAGTTGGATAAAAGTACTACCTCAAAATTAACCGTTAAGACTATCCACCTCGTAAATCATTTTGCGTAGTCATCTTAACAACAACGACAACAACAAATTTCAGCCATTACAAGAGTTCAACTCACAACACTCCATGTTTTATTTTTGTAAAACATATCGGAAATAGAATTTAAGCTATTTAAGATAGACAGAAGGCGACAAACCAAAAGACAACAAATTTTTCCTTTCTACATCAACTGAGCATACCACTTCCTAGGATGAGACCAATTTACTAGATAACTATTACTCCTCAAAGACAATTGCTACCTACACAAATAAAACTATGTCTTCATACCTTTGATAAGCGGTTATACACATGAGCTTCCCTTGCCCTGGGAAAAATCTACCGATGAAGAGAACCCAAAGATAGCTTGATGCCTTTCTTGGTAAAAGTTCACCTATAGCACTACCGCACAATTCTCTAATGTGTTGCGTTACATCACGTACACATTTAGAAAAGGAATGGGTTTTTAAAAAAAATCGGAAACTAACCTTCAACCTTTCATAAAGGTAGGCCGACTACCAGGGAATATATCATTTCCTTGCATCGGCAGTTCAAGACTCACAATATTCTCCCGTGATTTCATCTCACATTTTCGACCAATCTGAAATCTTCTTTCGTGAAACACATTCCCACGTATTTCGTAAAGAACCACTGACGAACACCTTTCCCTCCCATCGTAGAAGACTTAAGGCAGAGGTGGCATTTGATGCAAATCTTACCTCTCGAGCTGGAAAAATTGCACGGTGAAGTGTCTGTTACAAAACAGAACGATTCTTAATAGCAATAAAACTTACCACTTACTTTTCGCAGCCGATTGCGATGTTTCTTCGCAAGCAGGTGACAGCAGCGAGACATCTTCCTTTCAGTTTGCTGCTCTTACGAGGAGAAGCACAAAAAGTGGGAGTACAGTCACTCGACAAAGAACGACTGCACGTGATTGAGTATTAATGATTTAATGTCTGTTGCACCACATGGTCGCACTCCGACTTTTCAGCTCTCGTTCTGATTGCTATAAACAACTCAGCAAAAGATACGTCACACCGCCCTGATCTCTGACTCACCGCCCATGGATTCTCGTTGGCCACCATGTGAACCCATTGTGATCTCAATGCCAATTTGTGGGTACAGATGTCGTATTTTGGCCGCACGTTTTTCAACGCCACCTGCTAACCAGGAATCTACACCTGCGCTTAGTTGTTAGTACGCTCCACAAGTGAAAATTCCTGGAAAGACTGAATGAATCGAGCATACTCTTCAACTGTTGTAAAAAGCCAGGTACTCAGGTATCACAACTGTTCAATCATTAAGGAAGCCTATCAATCAGTACCAACCAGTAATAAAACTTTTGTGTTTGTAATAAACAAAAGCAAAAACTATACTTCTTATGACCCGAATTCAAAACGACTTCCCAACGGCTTACGGCCTTATCGTGGTTGCAAGGTGTTCCTTTGTATCTGAGTGTGATGTACAGTGAGGGGTTTCATCACCCCTGCAGGGTCTTCCAAGTTGAGGAGTCCGGCGTTTCCACCAAAAAGCACAGCTAAGAGTAGATCAATGCCAATTTCCACTACCGCACTGGTATCAAAATAGTCGCTTGGCTTGTGGTAAATCTCCCTATGATCCACAATGGCAGCGACTGCTTGTGGTGATGACGACCTGGGGAAGACAATGGCCTGGCTGACACCGGAACCACAAAAAACCATTATAGCTAAACTATCGAAACTCCAAAAATGTGGAGATTATGACGGGGTCAGCACAGCCAGTGAGGACGGGTCATCTAAGTATCCAAGTAGGAAGTATTCAGTGAGCCAAAACGGGCAAAGCAAATGTCGAGCCCTCACACACGGCTGAAAACAGTTACTTCATCCGTCCAAATTATCGACGTCCACGTTTTACACTATTTGCATACCTGTGTATATGCAAATACGTTGGAGAATAACCGATAGAAATCTGGGCCACGGACGCCAGATCAGTCAAAAGTCGATGAGCACCTATGGACCCACCTTGTGCTCGACCACCACCCACTAATCAGTTCTGAATTGACAGATGCAAAATCGAAGTCGTTTCATTACGAGGAAGTCGACAAGCACCAAGAAGCCGACACAATGCGTCTGTGGACTCGATTTGCCAGACAACCCTACCAATCCAGGAAAGTCTACTTTTCATATGCAAGCACCCTTTCACACTCACCACTCCTTCTGTACTCCTTTGACTTTCTTTAACGTGTGCCTTACTCTGTCCCTAACTCACAGTTTAATAATCATACCAAGAACTTCGAAAGATATAGCTTATAAAACAAAATGAATAGGTCTCGCACACCAAAACAACCCCATACTAAATTCTAATGTTATTAAAAGACAGACAACATCGTTGAGACCCACCCAAATACATCAAATTCCTGCGTCAAAACAACGACATCCAGTTAATTCAAAGACAGATGCACACAACTCTTTCATTGACATCCGCATAGCAGCCTCACAACGATAACGAAGTTCCTGCACTTAATTTACTGAAACAAATAGTAAAATATAGATACCGATAAACACATGTAGACCCAAAAACGTCATTATCAAGCAGAACAAGACAAGATATTTCTTACAAAGCTTCATTTCTAACAACATAAAATTGACCGAACGATAGGTGATTATGTTGAATAATAGATCGAGGTTGATAGACGGCGGCGAGAAACTGCTACAGAAGACAAGAGGAACCTTGTGCTTGCCGATAACAAGGAATTCATAAAAGTGTCGTCCGGATAAACCACGCTCGGGGCGGAAGGACCGACTACCTGGATAAAAGAATGGCCTGAAATCCTGTAGATTGTTCATCCTTACAATTACCAGCTCAGACGTATTTCAACCGACCAGATGAAAGTGTTCAAAACCCCACCTTGGCCCCTAACCACTCCACTCTGGTACAACCCACTGATCAGTTAGCATTCCTCGTTAGCAGTACAACAGCTCGGTCCGCCAGGCAACACTGTTAAGCTACGATGGGTCCATTAATGGAAAAGCCGCCAACTAAACAGAAACAACATTTGATGCCAACAATACTTGCGGTCGGCAAAAGTTCTAATCACACAACAGAAGAGAAACATCAGCGCGCTACCAACCAATTGCATTTGGACCTCATCTCATCAGAAAAGCTGAATTCGAAGGCATCGTATTCCAGACTGATAGGCACTTCAGCAGAAAGATGACTTCTGGGTAAAATAATGAAAGAACAAAAATAAGCGAGATATAGACAGTTATTCGAAAAACTATACACATCAAGTAACGTTAGCTAAAAGAACAAGAAGTGAAAATACAACACACGCAACCTGCTACCACTAAACGACACTAGTGCGGGATTGAACTACGGACATCAGAAACATCGTCGGTAGAATCTTTGTCATTAGAAAACCCGCAAAAATGTAGAGTCGGCAAAGTATCTCGGCAAGTACATGCGTGTCCGTCGACCATATTTCCCACACCATCAACGCTCTCATTTAGTCGAGAAAATCTCGCAGTGAGACGTCTATTCTCAGCACAAAGGAACTTGTTCTCCTCAGTCAACCTCCCAAGCTCTGCCTTACATGTGAGCACCTCATTCTTCTGCCGCTGTCGGTACTTCCTCGAATAGTGGACCGAACTCGATGTACTGGTAACTTTCTCGGGGCGACCACGACGCGACGACTTTCCGGCTGGTTTCGCATAGGGGTGTTCTTCGTGATGAACGGGACGATTGATACTGCCACCTTCGTTCGATACGTTCACGGCACTATCGTCATGTACACTATCAGCAAATGACCACGTCTTGTGCTCGGAAAAGCAGAATGGCGAGTGAGTGGGGTCAATGTTTCCATAACTGGGTATCTCGTCAAAAATGAATGAGTCAAAGTCGGAAACCCCATCTTCACCTACATTGATTCTCTCATCAACAAGTCCAGCTGATTCATCGGTGTCTTCCATCAGTAGATGTTCCTGGTACTGAACCAAGTAACGCACAACGGAGTCCTGATTAGCGTTCATTGACATACGACGGCTGGTTGAATCAGCAGAATTGGACTGCGATCTGGAAAAGTCATACAATATAGCAACTCAATATAGCAAAAAGTGAATCTCTGTAAAGAAGCAAGAAAATACAGAATACAGTACCTAACAGAGGAACGCGATGCAGGAGGATTTTCAAAAATGACGCAACGTGCGTCTTCACATTGCAGTACTTTTGCTGCACTTTGAGAAAACGTGACTTGTATTTATCTTAGTGCTAAGGTTGCTTCACTATATAGAGATATTTCCGTGGATTTCAAATACTGTGCAGTCTTCTATGCTGACGTGTATGTGTACATTTTCAAATAATTGTTGCAGCCTTCAGTAAAGACGGAGAATGGGAGAATTAAGTTCACTTCACATAGAAAGCCTATCTATTTACCTGGCTTAATGTAGATCGGGGATTAGGGTACGGTGCTGTAACCTGCAGAAATTTTAAAATCATCTGCTTGCAAGCATTAGAAGATTAGATACAGCTCACTATTTCAAGATTCATCAGCGTTGTTAACAGTAAAATGAGCAGCATAGAGCTGTATAAATACATGTATGGCCTAAACAACGACTTTCACGTACCTAAAGATGAAATGTCTGTGTACTTTCTGTATCTTCAGAGGCAGTATGCCACCGATTTGCCGACCTCAGAGGGTTGTAAACTTGTTGTGCCAGGGTCGCCAGATGGATCCCAAAGACCGTCGGTCTCTACAAGCTCTTTACGAAGATTGTCGTGTTGCACCTACCGAGGACATCGAATAAGGCACAACCTTTTGAGCAAATTGGATTTCGACAGGGATTTTGCTACATGAACTACATACAGAGTGTGTCCAGGCTCACTAAAGTCTATCGGGAGCACCTCCTGCCCTTCGACCTGACTTTTGCCCACTGTGAAAAAGCGTTTGATAGTATCGAAACGGTGTAAACGTATGAGATGGTTTCTGTGATCACATAATCATTCAGTTCGATCTGTTCGCCTTCCCACAATGGGTTTTTTCATGAATTGGGTCTTTCTCCGATTTACGCGCAGCCCGAACATTTTTTCGCTTTTTGCCGAGGTTATTGTTCATCGCCTCTGCTTCGTTGCCTACTCTTCCCATCCTAATGACTTCATTATCCGCAGCAGTTTTACATCTAACAGCATCAACGATAGTGTGTCGTCTTGCCGATCCTCTCATTGGTATGGTAAGTGGTCGATAGAAAAGTTATATTTTTCTGCTATAGTCCTGACAACAGTCAGTTGGTGTTTTTATTTAGTCCAAATAGTCAACTAGAAGGGATAGGATTACATTAGTTTCGAGGATTTAAACGTTCTTAGTAGTAAGACAAAAGTCAGGACTAGAGCCAGGTATTCCCGACAAACTTCAATGACATTGAACACAGTTTGGATGCGTTAGTTTCCGCAATATACCTGTCTAAATCATGCTTTCTCAACTGGTTGCTCTTCATTCAGTGCGCTTGATATGCGCGACAGGATATTCTTTGTAAAGAACATGCAGAATTCACGAAGGTTCCTCCGGTTCTGTTACTTTTCTCGGGCAGGATGACCGTGTGCGAAGTCCTATACTTGTCAGGGATTTTTTCCATTTGAAGGAAAAATATGTTATTATTTGGAAAATTACATGTAAATTGTGGCTTCCCAGCCCTAAGGATTGGACAGTGATAATATCAGGTCCTGGAGCTGTGCATTTTTTCACATTTTCCTCAGAAGGGAGAACTCTAGGTAGTTTTTCTCCACCGGGTTTTTTAGTTCTGAGACGGTGATTGTCAAATGAAAAAGGTTGATGTAGAACTTCACCGTTATTAATACGAAATCATGTTTAGAAGTTTTGTTGATCCCATCTTCATTCATCAGAGTTGACATCGAAAGGTTATATTCGCACAACTAACCCAAGCATTTTTTCACAATGGTTCTTTTTCTGCTCCACTTCTAACATCCTCTGCTTGTTCCATAACAGGCGATATATATACAGCTAAACATTTTCTTCGTGGTCGATGACATGAGTTCTTTTCCAGCTTACGGTTGAATCTTACCTTCGCGCTAAGGCGGTGGTCGCCACCAGTGGAGATTTATGGAATTACCTGTTTGTCAAATACGGACAATCTTCCTTCTGTAAAATACATTCGACCTCCGCATGACTCGTCCCGCTAGCAGATTCTCACGTTTAGCTGTGGTTTTCTTTCTTATAGAAAAACGAGTATCCATGGACGAGGGCGTGCTGCAGACAAAATTCTTGCAACACAGTCTCCATTTTTGTTCGCTTCTCTTAGTGTAACATTTCCAATCCTGCATTCTCTGGCTGGCCTTTCCTATTCTAGTGTTGAAATTTCTGACAAGAAATTTCCAATATCCTTTATCGTTGAAAATAACTTCCCCTAACTGATAATAGAACGTATCTAACTCGCACACATTAGTTGCACCGTTCAGTGAGTAGCAGTTGATTATGGTGATTTTCTTATGATGTGTTGGTTGAACACGAAAGATGGCAATGCGAGCTAAAAGGAACTCATACTAGTCGACGAGAAGGACAATGGATGGATGGACGACTAAGCACCCACGCCATCGAAATTTCGTGACGGGACCTTTTCCCGGCGGAGGACAAGGGTGTCCTCGTTTATTTGGCGTGGTCATCGTACTTTTTAGTTCTTGTAGAGTTGCCCAATGAAATTTGATGCGATCTGTGGCTTCAAAGAGAATGTGAAGATCTGCGTCGGAATAAGTGTTCTGATATTATACATGCAGAGTAAAAAGCAATCTACATGGTGTGACGTGCCTGTGTTCGTCAGAACCGGCTCCAATAACGTAACGGTAACGTCATTAAGAAAGGGACGACGAAACAGACGAAAACAATGCGAAAAATCTGTCGCTGACGAGAGGAAGTCTTTACGAATTCGTTTCATTTCTGCCAAATTTGAAAGTCCTATTTGCTCGTCTATTCCACAAACTGGCATCATTCCCAACAGGCACATGGGAAGGTCAACGGCATTCGTGGACGATGTCCGCTGTTTGACAAGGCTTCTTTGTTCACTATCTTCTCATCGGAGCCATCAAAATACACCACTTTATGTCCAGTGTGATTTCAAAATTCATGAGAAGCGCTCTTAAATTACTGCGTAGTAGGAGGAAACGGCGGTCAGGAAGGTGGATCTATTTTATTGACGAATTCGTGTTTTATATCTAATGTAACTCGTAAACATCTCCCAACGGTTTACCGCCTTATCGTGGCTGGAAGGTGTTCCTGTGTGTCGGTCTGCGATGAACAGCGGGGAAATTCATCCTCCCGGCAGGGTCTTCCAAGCGGATATGGAGCCCGGCGCTTCTATCAGGAAGCTTAGCTAAGAGCAAACCAATACCAGAATCCACCAGCGTCCTAGTATCAAAGTTGCCTGGTGGCAAATCTTTCTCTGATCCACAAGGGCTGCAACTGCCCGAGGTGGTGAAGACCTGGAGCATACTTTGGCCAGACTGACCTCACGATTCCAGAGGATCACAATGGTCTAGTCATCAAATCTTCGAAAATGGGGGTTATCCTGGGGGCCGCACAACTAGTGAAGATGAGCCGTTCAAGCACCAAGCATCATGTAACTCATAAACGACACAGTGCCAAATAGAAACAAAGTTCCACACTTCTTGTAGTTCTATCAGCCAATGAAATCTCTATTTCGCTCTTACCCCTTCACCCTAACTCAATAAATTCTACCTGCATGAAGAATTAGAAGAACTATTTGGAAGGGTCATACATTTCCTCCAAGGCCCCAAGGCCTTCAAGAAGATTCTGGCCACCGCATCAGTGGTGTTACTGGCGCGAGTTAACGTCCACTGGGGCTCTAGCGCTGACGTTTTTGTTCGCTGGTGCTTTGCTACGGTAAGAAATGTTTTCTGATATTTAAACAGTAAGTCGTGCAGTATTGGTTGCCGTGAATACCTGACTAAGGTCACAAATTTCACGCTACCTAGACGCCTTTTTCTATGAACTCATTTAAGGTTTTCTCCAGGTTCATTCTTTCTATCTTCAAAGAACGTGCCCAAAATATGCCCATCTTCATATAGATCTTCACATGAATTCGAACATCTCTAAACCGTTGATAACTATATATTGTGGTGCTACATGTAATACACGAAGGTTCTATTCCAAGAACAGTGCATCATTTTCCGAGCTATTTAGTTCAGTAGTCAAAAAATGGCGACGTGTTTCCTTTATCGAAATGAAGAAATTGCTTAGTGTAATCTTTCTTCCACTGCAAAGGTAAATCTGGTCACACAATCGTGGATAATTACGTCACAACTAACTTTTGAGATATGGTGGTGAATATGTGATACGTAGGACAACAAAGCAGTTCGTCATGGCGAGGTGGAGATGGAGGTTAGACCTGATTTTTCATATCACTTACTAAATCCACACTAACCTTACCAACTTTCCTCTTCTCCACTCCTACAGTATTGTATGATCCTTGAAAATTCGATCCTTAAGCAAGCTACACCTTAGAAATATATTGAATTGCATAAAGGATAAACTTTGACCGTTATTGATATTTTTTCTGTTGGATGAAGATGATTTTTTTGCCACGCTACGACTTCCTTTTAGGGGTGCAAGGATTTCTGGCATGTGTTTTCTCCTAGCTGCACTTAATGATCAGGTTCTTTCCGAACCGAGCCGAAACCGTTTATAGTTTTATTAGACAGCTTCCCAAGGACGGCGGCCACAGTACACATTGTTGTTTGATACACGAGAACATCCTACGTCTTGGTTAGAGGACTGAAGAACTGAAAATCGATTGTTTTGGGACAAGGTTATTTTAATTCAGAACACCTCAAAAAAAGAACCATGACGCAGTATACTGTCAGTCACGTGCAACGGGCATCGCCATTAGAAAATTGACGCTGTGGGATGTCTGTAATTTGACCGCTTTAAGTGGTTAGCAGCCTATTGTTATGGTGAGCAAAAGGGTCCTCACAGTTCTGTTCCTGATATTAATATTGCTGCTTTCCAATA